GGGAAGCCCCTCTATGAGGTGAATTGATTCAGTGACTGGGATAATTGGAATGGGAGTGTCAGAGACAGTGCGACTGGCACAAGACAGAGCGGAGTTTAGGGCTGTTGTACATAGGGTCGCTATGAGTCGCAGGCGACTCGACGGCACATAACAACAACATAACAGTGGTAAGAAACTGCTCTGCAATCTCAAAGGCATGTGGTTTGAAGCCACCAGCTGCTCTGTGGAATAAAAATGAACAATCTCCTCCTGTGTGATTTACAGTTTCTGAAAACCTGCTTAAGGTCAACTTTGGGTTTTGACTCAGTACGTAACCACAGCAAAAATACTTATCCATATAACGGTACAAGATGCTCCAAAGAGTTACTTATAACAGGGGTCATCAGTGTCAGAAACTTACATTTCTGTAGCAGTCTGTCATGTTTTCATCCAAGTCTTTGGTTTGGAAAGCTCAAGTCCAAAGCCGACATTCAGCACACAGTGCACACTTCATGTGTAGGACCTGGAGCTCCTGCCGAGGAAGAGGAGAGGAAGCGCAGCATACAGAGGGTTATCTTCGTGAGGAGGGATTCTAGGGAGCACTGGGGGACATAGTGGGATGTGGTTGTTTCCAAGTTCAGGGCCAGGGGAAAAATCATGGAGACAGTGTACCCTCAAGAACCAAACCCCTGCCCCTGGTGCCGGTTCCTGGCAGCCCTCCAGCAGGTTCCCGGGGCTGTAAATGTTACAGGAGATGACAGCCCATCTTTCTCCTGGAGAGCAGATGGTGGACTCGAGCCACTGTCCTTTCTGATCACAGCACAGCACGTTACGCACTATGCCACCAGGACATTTTTTAAATTAAAGCGTTGTTCATAATAATTAGAAATTAAAAAGAAAACACATCAATAAAAAAATTAGTTAAAATCCAAGGGGAGCTCAGGTGGCCTAGTGGCAAGAAGCTCTACTGCAGTCTCAGAGGTACACAGTTTGAATCCACCAGATTCTCTGCTGGAGAAAGAGGGGCAATCTCCTGTACCAGTCAGATCCAACTTGACAGTACACACACACACACACACACACGAAAATAAAAAAAAATTAAAAATTGGTTAAAATCCACTGGGAATTGTTAAAGGCGTTCTAGGTACATGATATTTCTTATACCAGAGGGTACTATAAACTTAATCTTTCTCTATGTGTAAAGAGGATATTAGCCTGTGTTGTAGAATGGCATAAAAAGGAAGAGTAAAAACAACTAGCAGAGAAACTTTGTCAGCAGAAATAAAGGCAAAGTCACCTATTGGAGTAAGTGTAGGAAATTATTACATTAATAAATAAATGTGAATGTAATGAACGTTCATCATCATCACTGCTGTGGTTTGATTGTTTTCAAAGTCTGGCTCTACTGCAAGCAAGGACGGCTTGGACATTTTCTAAACGTTTCAAAGTAGAAAAAAATATTTGGATAGAAACAAAGGTTGGGAGACCTTCCTTAAGAGTTAAAATGACACACGTGTGTGTGTCTGTGTGTCTGTGTCTGTGTCTGTGTCTGTGTCTGTGTCTGTGTCTGTGTCTGTGTCTGTGTCTGTGTGTCCTAGAACATTTTCCTTTGCTCTCAATCCTGCCAGAGTGTTCACTATGCATCTGGATAACGTGCTTTAGATCACTGTCTGCACGGTGGTGTCGCATGCTTCCTGCTCCAGGATATAAACTGGCTGCTGACTTTGTTCCTCTCTGTTCTTAGGATGAGCGATCACCTGCCAAACTTTTGAGACAGCGCGCGGCTTAGAGGACGGCTCATCTAAATAAAGGCCGGCTGGAGCAACGCTGCTGGGACTTAATCCCTCGCTAACTACGGGGTGACAGAAGGCTGCTCTGAAGGTTTCTTCCCCCCAGGGTTCCAGACTGCAAGCTCTTGACCGGCAACTTGACCGAAAAGAGAATCAGGAAATGAAGAAGTTGGGAGATGCGCACCCGCGGCAGGGGTGCGCGGGGTCCCCCGGGGCTGACAGCCACCAGGATGCAGGAATCCCCGGGCGGCAATAGAGTGCTGGGGCCTTGGTCCCGGGACGCAATCGGTCACTGCCGAGAGCAGAACCCACGCGCGGCCCGGGAAGCCGTGAAGAGCAGGCCCGGAGGCGGCCCCGGGCGTCTGGCTGCGCGTGGCTGTGCGGCTGGTGTCAGGCCCGGCGGGTGCCGTGCCCGCCTCGGTGACATGTCCCCTCCGGGCGGCCAAGCTCGCCGCTGCGCCGCCGACTGAGGTTGGAGACCCGGGGCGCAGGCAGCGCGCCGCGCTCAGCCCCTGCGCGCTGCGCCCCGCGCGCTTCCTTCCCCACGTGCGCCGCTGCGGACATGGAGACGTGAGCGCGCGCTGGACGATGACTGCCGTGTACGCCAATGGGGGCAGCCTGCTGAACGCGCACTGCGCCAGGTGGGACCGGCGCGACAGCGTGGAGAGCCGCTGTCACACCAGAGAAGAGGACGAGGGCCAGCCCTGCCAGCTGACACCGTTCGAGAAGCTGACGCAGGACATGTCCCACGATGAGAAGGTGGTCAGAGAGATCACCCTGGGCAAACGGGTCGGCTTCTACCGCATCCGAGGGGAAATTGGAAGCGGAAACTTCTCCCAAGTAAAGCTGGGAATCCACTCCCTAACCAAAGGTAGGCTCACCCCAGCGGGTCCCTGGGTCTGGCTTCGGGGTGGGGCTCAGGGCCGGGGCCGGACGCCAGCGGCTTTTGTCGCAGTTAATGTCCACAGTGGTGCCTGGAAGTCAGTGTTTTATTTCACTTTAGAGATACAGCCACAAAAATGGTAAGCATGGCCCACCCGAAGGCACAGGGTCTGAAGAGTCAGTCGTGGGCTTTAAGGAAATCCTTTAAGGGTAGAGTTTGAGCTAGGCGTCCCGGAGACAGAGGGGTTTGGGGTGCAGTGATTCTAGGAGAGGATTGTTGTGTACAGACGAGTGGAGCACAGCAGACCCTCAGGTTTGCAGAGGCAACAAAGTGCACCAGAGGAGAAGGTCCATCGTTAGCCCATGGAGCAGCTGGTGGATTGAACCGGGCGGCTGGGGGTTGTCAGATCAGCTCTTTACGCTAATCCCCCAGCCCTCCTTGGAGAGAGGAGGGTGAGCTGAGGAGACTGGGAGCAAAAGCGTTAGGATGAGAACACGGCTACGGGGCAGTTCCTCCCCGCCGCTCTTTTGTCTGTTGATCGTACTGTAAATTGCTGGGATGCTGAAAATTCTGTCAGTGGATTTCAAATCCCAGCAGTGGGATTTGTCCCATACTGGACAGGTTTCAGTGGAGTTTCCAAGATTGAAACAAACTAAGCAGAAGGACTTGGCAATCTTCATTAAAAAAAATTGCCAAAAAAATTTTACTGAATACCAGAGGAATCTTGTCTAGTACAGATGCACCCAGGTATCTCAGTACATCAGATAATTTTCCTATTCGGGTAGAAGAGATTCAAGATAATTTTTTGGTTTGTCTGGACTTCTTTTCATTTTCTCCAGCCTCAATTTGAACGAAAGTATGATCTTGAATCTATTCTACCTGAAATTCAAAATCATCTTAAGAATAAATTTGAAGCACTGAACACCAATGATTGAAGATGAGATGGGTTGTGGGATGACATTAAGGTCATCATCCATGAAGAGAACAAAAGGCCATTACAAAGACAGAGGAGAAAGAAAAACCCAAAATGAATGTCAGAAGAGACTTAAAATTGCTCTAGAATGTGGAGAAGCCAAAACAAAGGGAAAACATGCCAAAGTAAAAGAGCTGAACGGAAGATTTCAAAGGGCAGCTAGAGTAGACAAAACAAAAGGTTATAATGGAATGCGCAGAGAGCTGGAACTGGAGAATAAAAAGGGAAGAACTCACTCTGCGTTTCTCAAGCTGAGAGAACTGGAAAACAAATTTAAGCCTCGAGTTGCAATATTGAAAGATGCTTTAGGCAATGTAGTGAATGACCCAGGAAGCGTCAAAAGAAGATGGAAGGAATGTACAGAGTCACTGTACCAAAAGAACTGATTGATCTTGAAAAATTTTAGGGAAGTACCATGTGAGCAGGAGCCAGTAGTAGTGAAGGAGCAACTGGAAGGTGCATGGAAGTCATTGGCAAAAATTAAGGCCCCAGGAATTGATCGGATACCAATTGACTTATGCCATCACCAGTCTATGCCAGGAAATTTGGAGGACAGCTGTCTGATCAATAGATTGGAAGAGGTCCATATTTGTCCCATTCCCAAGAAAGGTGATCCATCAGCATGTGGGAGTTATTGAACAATATCATTAACACCACATGCAAGCAAAATACTACTGAAGAGCATTCAGAAATAGCTAGAACAGTAAGCACATAGACAGGAAACTACCAGAAGTGTAAGCAGGATTTAAAAGAGGCCATGGCACCAGAAATATCACTGCAGATGTCAGATGGATCCTGGCTGTCAATTTATGCTTTATTGACTATGCAAAGGCATTTGTGTGGATCATAGCAAGAGGGACATCATGCTTGGGAGGGTGGAGGGACAGCACAGGAGGGGAAGACCCTCTATGAGATGGATTGATTCAGTGACTGGGATAATTGGGATGGGAGTGTCAGAGACAGTGCGACTGGCACGGGATAGAGCAGGGTTTAGGGCTGTTGTACATAGGGTCGCTATGAGTCACAAACAACTCGATGGCACATAATAACAACAACATGCAAAACCTACATCTAGACCAAGAGGCTGTTGTGTGAACAGAGCAAACGGGCACTATTTGTTAAGTGTCATCAAGTCTTAATGACCCTATGCACAATAGTTCTGAACCCTGCTTATCCTGAGCCAATCTCACTGTCTCTGACACACCTCCTATTGCCCCACCCCTTGGATCAATCTGTCTCATCCAGGGTCGTCTTCTCTTATGCCGTCCTTTCATACTTCCAAACACGGTATTTTTCTCCAGGAAATGGTCCCTCCTGGCAACATGCCCAAAGGCAGGGCTTCAAAATTCTTGCCTCCAAAGAGCAACTTGGCTTCACTCTCTTCAGGACAAACCTGTTTGTTCTCTTGGAACCCTTCTCCAACACCACAGCTCAAAGGCATCAATTCTTCTTCTGCCATCCTTATTCATTGTCCACCTTTTCAATCTATACACATTACAGATCATTCGGTAGGCTAGACTTTATGAAGAGAGATGTGTCATCAGAATTGGAGGAAAACTCAACAGCCTGCCTTATGCAGATAAGACAAGCTTGCTTACTGAAACGGAATAGGTTCTGGAGTTGAGCTTCAATCCATATTGAAGTTCTTGACCTTCTGCAGCAAGTGTTTCATGTTCTCCTCAATTTCAGCAAGCAAGGTTGCATCATCTGCATAATGGAGGTTGCTGAGTCTTCCTCCAATCCTGGTGCCACTCTCCTAGTAAAGCCCAGCCTCCCAAATTATCTGTGCCACATACCGATTGAAAATGGAGACAACATGCATCTCTGAAAGCTTTAGTCTTTGATTTTCTTCAGTAAGAACTTTGATGCTTTCTGCATCAAGATTTTTCCCATAGAATCCTTCAGTATTAGAATTTGATGCTTGAATTTGTTCTTAAAATTCTGTTCTTTCAGCTTAAGAATTGCCAAGTGTGTTCATTCTTCCCTTTTGATTTTCTGACTCCAAGTCTTTGCACATATTTCACTTTGTCTTCTCGAGCTACCCTTTGAAATAATCTGTTCACCTGACTTATGCCATCACTTCTTTATGGGAAGCCAAACTTTATACCAAATATTATATGAAAATCCTTGTTCAGGAATTGAAGGAATTACAGATACATAAATTAGGATTTCTCTTGTGGCAGATCCTAGAAAATGAGCTGTTTGTTCCCTACAAGACAGGAGACAGCAAGGGGCCCCTTACAGAGGGAGTGTTACTTCCTGAGCTCGAGTTCACCCTGAGGCATCAAGGTTAATAGTTAAGGGTAAACCAAATTCTTACATTTGTGGACCCCTCCCTCCTGAGTCAAGCAGAAGGTTTTCTATAGAAAGAGCTTGGCTTCATTTGCTTTGAATTCTCTTTGTGATTTACTTCCTGATAATTTTCAATAAAGACACAGAGAAGCTTGGCTTGGGGTCTTCAGTCCGAGAACTGCTGGCCCCCTGTTTTATGCTCTCTGCTCTATCACATTCTTAGCTGTTTGTCCCCTTATTAATAATTGTAAAATTATTCCAATCTTTGGGACCCTCAGTCTGCAACACTTCTTTCCTTTGCTTTAGCTTTTCTAGATTGAAGAGCAAGTCTCTTCTGACATCCATTCTGGTCTTTTCTTTCTTTCCTCTTTTTATTGACCTTTTGTTTTCTTTATGATGATGTCCTTGATATCACCCCACCGTTCATCATCTGATTTTCAGTCATTGGTGTTTAGTGCATCAAATTTTTTCTTAAGGTGCTTTTCAAATCCGTGTGGGATAAACACAGGTTGTATTTTGGCTTTTGTCAACTTGTTTTATTTTTCTTCAGTTTTAATTTGAACTAGTATATGAGTAATTGCTAAACTGTTTCACAATTATTTCCTGGTAACCATCAATGACCATTGGGTCATTGTAAATATATTTTTTGTATGTAAATAAAAAAAACCACTATATAAGTCTGAATTTTATAATTTCATAAAGATGAGTTCCTCTGACATTTGTCTTTATGCGATTGACTGACTTTGCTTAGCATGATGTCCTCTCAGTTTCTACATGTTGTGAGATGTTTTGGGTAGCTGTTTTTCTTTATGGCTGCCTAGAGTAATTGATACCTTTGAGCTGTGGTATTGGAGAAGAGTGCTGAATATCGTATGGACTGTGAAAAGAACAAACATATATGTATTGTAGAAGGTGCGGCCAGAGTGCTCTTTAAAGTCAGAGCTGTGGAAGCTTCATCTTTTACACTTTGGACATGTTGCTAGAAGAAGCTTTTCCTTGGAAAGGGGCGTTATGCTTGGAAAGATGCAGCCTAGTGCAGGAGAAGCAGCTCCCCCAGGAGACAGATTGACATGGTGACTGTGGCAATGGGCTCAGGTGTATCAGAGATGATGAAGGCGGCACAGGAGAGGACAAGGGTCGGGTCTGTTGGTCATGGGGTTACTGTGAATTTATGTGACTTGATGGCATCTAACAAAAACAAGTATCTCATTGTGTGTATGTGCACCATTGTGTCTATTTATGGCCGCTTAATTGTTTCCACTTTTCGCTACTGTAACTAGTGCCATAAGGACCTTAAGTGTGCATATGTTGGTTGTGCCTCTTCTATCAGATCCCTTGGGTTTTCCTGTAAAAGGAGCACTGACCATGTGGGGACAGCTGAGTCCGACCTCTGCTAACACTACAAAGGGTAACTCCCTATTAACAACATCCACAGTAGAAAACTGACCCCCAGAAGGTCAGTTATGGCCCCCCACTCTGCTACAATTACTTCTCCTAGTTACTAGGTCTGAAATTCATAGCAAATGACCACACAGACACTGTAGAATCTCTTTTTACTCACAGTCATGGGGTTTATTAGGGAAACAAGTAGGGAAGGGGGAGGACAAAGTATATTCTGAAAGTCCAAGTTTGTGAGCAGTGCAGGTCCAGGTTCATAAACAGTGATCCTAAGTAAGGTTAACAGCAAGACACATCTCTCAAATAATTCAGACAACTTTTGTTT